CAAGTATCTGTTCCTACGTCCAATCTTACTTGCTCTTGACCTAATGGTAGGATGCTGCCCTATCAATCACGTGAAGGCACCATCACCTGGGTGTTGGTTTGTAAACTCATCAAAATGACAATCTATTTGTTCTCTAAACCTCCATGGCACTTCACACTTACTTCTATCACAGATGGACCCCACAGCATCATTATTGTTTATCTGCTGCCTCCATTAGACAGGAGCTCCTTGACATCAGGATCAGCAGTTCTTTTCATCTCTTAGAACCCAGAAGAATTAGGAAAGGGATGTTCTTTTTTAAAGTAAATTATATCCTTTCTCTTTCTCCTTCATAAACCCTGTCCACCAAACTCCCTCCATGTCCACAAACAATGGAGAACATCAATTAATGTAATCTTTGTTAATCGGATTCTTTGAAATGCTTGCCTATTTGAGAACCTGAATATTTATTATGCCTTTAATTTATTCTCAACTAAGAATTTTCTCCTCTTAAAGAAGTTAAGTGAACTACTAAAATACAAAGGTTAAAAATACAGCTCTAAGAGATGTGAACAGATCAAATCCCAAAACAGAGCCCATGCAACAATTCCTTTCTGCATTGCACTGGGCTCTTTACTCATTGCCTACAGCATACCAGGATAAACCTCAGACAAAATTTTGCTTAAGCTTTCATAATTTCAAAAATTACTTCACATGTGCATATCCGGTACTACACTGCAATCAATGCTCACACTTACTGTCACACTTACTTTTTCTGCTTTCCCCTTGTTGGCCTTAAAATCGCTGTTTCTAATATCTTCCATCCTTATATCCAGCGACTTAGCACACAAGTCTCTTTTCTCTGGCTTTCCTAATATTCTGAAAGCAAACACTGTGGTCCACTGTACTTCTTGCCTCTCTCTACACAAACTGGAACCTCATGAGTCCACTTGGCTGTGCTTAAGAATGAGCCATAAAGATTTCAAAAGCATATCAAGGGGACACCAATACATGCAATATTCTGTGCACTTAGTTGTTTTGTATGTCGTTAGTAATTCACAAATCAACAAAATTCAGGAGCATACTGATGGACTCTTTAACTTCTTTTTTTTTTTTTTAGATTTATATTTATTTGAAAGGCAGAGTTATGGAGAGAGAGAAGTCTTCCATCCACTGGTTCACTACTCAAATGGCCGCATAGCTGGAACTGAGCCAGGCCAGAGCCAGAGGCCAGGATCTTCTGGGTCTCCCATGTGGGGTGCAGGGTCCCATGTACTTGGGCCATCCTCTGCTGCTTTTCTAGGCACATCAGCAGGGTGCTGGATCAGTAGTGGAGCAGCTGGGACTCAACCCTGTGCCCATTTGGGATGCTGGGGCTGTAGGCAGTGGCTTAACCCACTATGCCACAACACTGGCCCCTTCTTTAGCCTCTTAAACTCACATCTCCTGTCTGCACATATGACTTGACATCTGTGTGAGTGACTGAAATTGAGCTAGCATGTGTATAAACATTCCCTGCACAAACAAAACAGCCAGTTGCTCTATAACCCTCCTTAGAACTACCAGTCTCAGCCGGTGCCGCAGCTCAATAGGCTAATCCTCCACCTGCAGCACTGGCACACCGGGTTCTAGTCCCACTCGGGGTGCCGGATTCTGTCCCGGTTGCCCCTCTTCCAGGCCAGCTCTCTGCTCTGGCCGAGGAGTGCAGTGGAGGATGGCCCAGGTCCTTGGGCCCTGCACCCACATGGGAGACCAGGAGAAGCACCTGGCTCCTGGCTTTGGATCAGCGCGCTGCGTGCGGCCGCAGCAACTGTTGGAGGGTGAACCAATGGTAAAGGAAGACCTTTCTCTCTGTCTCTCTCTCTCTCACTGTCCACTCTGCCTGTCAAAAAAAAGAAAAAAAAAAAAAAAGAACTACCAGTCTTACCACCACTTAAACAATAGGTGGCCTCAACTAAAGCAGGTAAGCTTAAGCCAGGGTTCCAGGAAACAAAAGATGACAGTTACGATGACCCCTCTATGAAACGCTCTTCAGTCCACTGGCTTCTAACTCTTAAAAGCAAAGTACCCACACTGAAAAGGAAAAGGTCTGTCTGGGAAATAAAAATCTAAGGCAAGGGGTAGCATCCCTCTCACTGGCTATTCTGCATCTCCATCCCACTTCCTATTCCAATCCGTTCTCCACATGGCACCAAGAGTGTTTTTCTCTAACCTAACCTGGTCACATTACAACCTTGCTTAAAACCCTTGGGAAGAGGCCCATCTTGAGGACAATGGCCAAACTCAGCAGCCTGCATGGCCTACAAGGACTTTAATAATTTGTCTGACTACCAGTCCAACTTTCTTCTCTGCCATTTCTTCACCATACCTCATACAAAGCCTACACTATTTGCACTCCATGAACAGAATGTGCTTAGGCTTCTAGTTTTGCATGTTCCATTTCCATTGTTGATATGTCTTTCCTCTTGTCTGCTCTATCCCAAGTAACAGAATCCCTTTTAAAGACAAGCAACTCCAGGCTGGCGCTTTGGCATAGCAGGTTAAGCTAACATCTGCAGCGCCAGCATCCCATATGGGTGCTGGTTCGAGTCTTGGCTGTACCACTTCCAATCCAGTTCCCTGCTAATGCACCTGGGAAAGTATCAGAAGATGGCTCAAGTTCCAGGGCTCCTGCACACATGTGGGAGGCTCCATTGAAGCTCCTGGCTTTGGCCTGGACCAACCCTGGCTGTTGTGGCTATTTGGGGAGTGAACCAACAGATGGAAGACTTCTCTCTCTCTCTTCATCTGCCTCTCCCTCCATGTAACTCTGCCTTTCAAATAAACAAATAAATCTTTAAAAAAAAAAAAAAAGACAAGCAACTCAAATAGCCCCTTTCCATTAACCCTTCTCTGATTCCCCAGCAGTGCCACTTGCTCTTTCCTTTACGTTTCTGTTGTACTTTGTGTCGGTCTCATCATAACTTTTGATATACTCTGTCATTCTTTTCATTTATTTATTTTCACTTTATTTGAAAGACAGACAAAGGGAGGAGACAACTTCCATCTGCTGATTCTCCCCAAATGCTGGCAATAGCCAGAGATGAGCAAGGCTTAAGTCAGAAACCAGGAACTCTGGTCTCCCATGTGGGTGACAGGGACTCATGTACTTGAGCCATTACCCATTGCCTTTGAGGGTGTGTACTAGCAGGAAGTTGGAATCAGAAGCACAGTTGGGACTCAAACCCAGGCACTCTGATATGGGATGCAGTATCGCAGGTAGCATCTTAAACGATGCACTGTCTATCATTATTTGTTCCCTGTTTCTCTCCATCTAATAGACAGCTCCTTGGGAGCAGAGGCCAGGTTATTATATATCTGATTTGTAAAAATGCATACTGAGTAAATGGGAACAAATGAATGAGGCAGTTAGAATGTATTCCTTGAACAGCACTGAAATTGTCTAGTGCTAATGTCTAAAGGTTGAGAAAACACATACAGAAAGGAAGGAGAAAAGAAAAGCATGTTCGCCAGAATAGAACAGGAGGGCTAAGAACCGCAGTAGCCAAGTGAGGATGGAATTGAAGAAAGACATAGTCAGTCAAGTAAAGAAAAGAACTGAGCTCAAAGTCAGTTCAAAGGTGTTCCAAGATTATCAGAGGATCAAGCGAAAAAACAAAACACAAACAAAAACCAGGGTCAGCAATGCATGAGCTGTATATAGAGAACAAGCGAACAAGCATGGGCTCGGTTGAGGGTCAGAGTTCACCTGGTGGGAAAACACACAGCCAGTAACATGGGATGGTGGTTCCATGATGACAACTGGTAAGGTCAGTGACAGCCCCAGGGTTAACACTGAAGAATCCCTGCTTCAGAAAAGCATCACTGCAATTGCTTTATTCCTGATACCTGGAGCTACACAGGGCAGTTTTTTGTCCCTCCACCCAATCCATAATCTCAAAGGCATTGTCTCCAATTAAAGGGGTCTCAAATTCCAAAGGCCATTTCTATTCTCCCCAATCTAATCCAGTGCTCGAAAAAAAAAAAAAAACCTAATTTTGTATTTGTTTTTACTTATTCCAACTTCATTATCTTGTCATAGTAAGTTTAGTCACACAACTTGGATAACTGCCAGGCACAGATGTGTGTCCAACACCTTTAACATCACATACTTGTATGAAGAAAATTTCCTTGTATTACCTTATTGAATCACCACAGCAATCCAGCAAGGTAGGTATTAAATATTATTATGGCCATTTAAGACATTAAGAAAATAAAACTTGGGTATATACACAATAGAATATTATTCAGCAATAAAAAAGAATTAAATTCTGCCATTTGCATCATAATGGACACAACTGGAGGACATCATGTTGACTGAAATAAGCTGGACCCAGGAAGACAGATACCTCATGTTCTCCTTTATGTGTGGAAGCTAAAATTTAAAAAAAAAGAAGAAAAGAAAAGAAAAAGAAATGTCTGTGTGTATCAGTATTGCTGCAAATATAGTTTTATAATTGGTTTTATACGTTTGTCAAACCAATGGTTAAGAGTGTTACACTGCTATAGTTTCAATGATCAGTGATTACTTTAAAGTTTACTTATATGAGTGAAACGATCATTTTTCCATTCATTATTGTTTATTGCTGTTGTCTGTACTCCCACTAAACTAGAGTCTTTTTGCTAAACTTCTTATTAGGTGAATATTAAGCCTTTTTACTATAATGCGAACTTAAAATATGTTAAAACAACAACAACAAAAAAGAGAGAAAGGGAGAAGGAAGAAGGATGGGAGTCAGCAAAGGAGAGAGGAAGAGAATATCATTATGTTCTTGGAATTATATCTGTAAATTACATTGAATCTGTTAAAAACTAATTAAAATTTTAAAATCTTAAAAAAGAAAACTAAAACAGACACACTAAGAGAAAGCAGAGAAAGGTTAATGTGGCCAAGATTTCAAATTAAGTAAATGGTGAAGGCAGGTTTCAAACATACACTGTGTGAATTTAATTCTATCCTCTCCATTCTCCCTCCTCTCTAGGCCCTTATAAAGGAAAGATGGACCAAAATAAAATATCAAAATCTCAGGAGGATATGAGAAGCCTGAGAGGCCCAGCCCTCAAGAGTAAGCACCAAGAAGTGACAATTAAAAAGCAAAACAATATAATGAGAACCATACATAATCTGTAAAGTGAAGCGAAGAAGACCCAGGAGAACCAAGTTGGTCCCCATATGTAAACACAGCTTGCAGATAGGGACCGGCTAATAGCACATCCCTAAGTGATGAACTTTCCTGCATTGAGTCCTAGTAGAAAAGTAGATCAAGCCTCATGTGCTGAACTCTCTGGACAAGAGCCCAGGATTACTGAATCCATGGTGGTGACTTAAAGAACAAAAATGCTGATAGGTCAAAGTTGGCAGAGAAAGAAGAGGTCAAGTCCATGAGACCTGAGATTCAGAGAGAACAGAGGGATAGAGAGCTGCTGAAACCAAGGAGAAGCACATGGAGTAGGATGAAGTGGGATGAAGAGACACCTTGTTAAGGAAGCAGCTCCAGCATCTCTGACCAAGTTGCCCACTCCCAGTAGGCAATATGGAAACCATCAGAGAACAATGTCTTCCTAAGGATCAGAAGTCCATGAACTTGCTCAGCCACCAGAAATCAAAGGCTGCCCCATGCCCTTGACTGTGTTCTCTCTCCCAGACTAGAAATGGGATGGCTCTAATTTCAACTTCTTGACTTAAAGCTCACCTCGTTCTTACGCTCTTACAGGCATTACTGACGTATGCTAGGCCTGCTCTTATATACCTGAACTTCAGTCCTGGTTTTTCCCACACACCCATGGTAGCTAGAGTATACTGCAGATTGTTGAAGTGTTTAGGGTTTAACCTCTCACAGTAACATGGCAGAAGTAGCACACTGCACATAAAACTGCTTCAGAACTCTATCGGAGAAGAGACTTTTCTTCCTGAATTACATTCTGCTCTATAGTTACCTTCCACAACCGGTGAGCATGTTCAGCCAGGGTCAGTGCAACAGCCGATGGCCACAGTGACCTGGAAATAGTCTAACTTATTAAGCTGGTTGGGCTTGTAGACCCTGCCTTCCCTAAGCATGAAACATGCAGAGAGCCCATTAAGATTCTACTTGACTTATATCAACATGGACCCCATGGGAGCTGGTGTGATTAAACCAAACACATCACAAATTTCTGTCCCCTGTGTGAGATTCTTTGTGTGTCTGTGTCTAAGTCATTGGAGGGGCATAGATAAATATCCATTCAGCCTTGGCCTCTGAGACCCAGAGAACACACTGTTTCTCTCAGAGTTAAAAATAAATAAATAAAAAGATTCAGGCCTGAGAAAACATACAAGCCAAAGTATGTGCTTAGGGGCTTAACTACAAATCTATTTCTCTCACACAGAGAGAGAGAGATGCTGAGAACACACACACCCCGACAGGTATGGCAGGGGCTCGGGTGAGGGCTTCAGAAGTTCCCAGAAAACGAAATGAAAACTTTATGTTGGTGCGAGCAACACTTTAAAGTCATGCACGGTGTTTCACAGTTTGTGGAAGACCTTTGGTGCGATCATTCTAGGAATACAGAAGCAAACGGATGTCGTGTGGGGGAAAGATGTGGGCATGTGGCTTCGGAGATGCACACTGCCAGGCCCTGAGAGCGCAGGCGATGCCCGGTACCCTTTGGGGGAGCCACAGGTAGACAGACAGGAAGAGAAATCAACACCGATGCCCAAGACAAAGGCACAGACGACAATCCCAGGTGCCGGTCCAGTCGGGCAAACCCAAAGGTGCAAACAGAAGGCAGAGGCTCAGCGTGGCTCCGTCCCCGCAGGTGAAGACCTGGAGAGAAACAGACGCGGGCGGCTGCAGAGGCACAAGGACACAGCAGAGCCCCTCCCCTCTCCTCTCCCGGCCCCGGGCCCTCGGGTCGCCCCCGCCAGCTCCCCCAGCACGGTCAGCAGCCCTCGGGCTCCTTTCGGGAGCGCGCCGGCCTGCCCAGCGCGCCCGGGCTCCCTCCCGGACGGGCCGGGCACGTCCCAGCTCTGACGCGGGAGCTTCTTTCACACCAATGAGGCTCCGGCGCACCGGGACCCTGCCCCTCCCCCGAGAAGGTGTGTCCCTGTTTCCTCACCTGAAACTTCCTTGGGAGAGCCCGGTCCCTCCCTCCGTCCGGGCGGCTCGGGCGGGCCGCGGCTGGGGCGGCCGGGCCTGCGCGGGGGACTGCGGCGGCGCCCGCGACCTGGAGGGGCCTCTTGGGCCGAGGCAGCATGTGACAACGACCAGGTGGGTGCCCTCTTCCTCTCCCGTGCTCGGCTCCCGGCGGCCGCAGGGGCCGGCGGAGGTGAGGCACGGACAGGAAGGAAGAGGAAACTAGGCCTTCCCCAGGGACCAGCCCCTGCTGGGTCCCTGGGCGCAGGCTCCGGAAATGCGGGGCTGTGCCACAGGCAGAGCTCTGGGTGCAGGGTCCAGGGCCCTGGGCCGGAAGAGAGGGAACCTGGAAGAAACGCTCTCGTCTGGAAAATTTGCTTCCGGTCCAGTGACGGGTCTCTGCTTTGGAAATGGGCACCCTGCCCGGCTTCGAATTTCCGGGGCTAATAATCACGACTCTCTCCAAGGTCTGGGCCCTGGGGGAAAGCGATCCCCTGTGATAACTGAGATTCCCTCTCTAGACTTTTCTTTACTGTACCTTGCCTGTCTCCTTTTTCTCAACTAGGCCTGGGCTCTCCTTCGTTTACATTCATATACCCTTGTCTATATAAGGGTACGTCTGTGTACACACCTCTCTTCCCTGTTAGCCGTGGCTCCTTAACTTGGAACAGTGACTCCTGCCCTGCTCAGCACCTTGTTTCCCTTTGTAAGGGGGCACCCCAAAGCTTCATGCTAATCCCCACATTGAGTTCTTAGAGGTGAGAAGGGAGCTGATTAGAATTGGGGGCTGGGGTGGCGTTTCTGAGTTCTGAGCATCGCTTAAAGACTGACTTCCAGCAAGACTGTCCTGGGAGAGCTAATCCTAAAGCCACTGGGTTTCTCCCCTTCCTAGGTCTTGGATTCCCCAGATTTGTCCTTCTGTCTACCTCAGAGTGAACTCTGGCCAGGACTCTTGTCAAGTCGAGGGGGAAGGGTGTGCCAAACAGACAAGGGACAGAGGCAGTTTTCCTTTCATGCTTCCTCCCTCTGAACTCCAAGTTCTTGCATTTGAACAATCACAGCTCCCAGCTCAATGATTCCCAGTATCCTCTCTTTCCAAGACTTCCTGTTTTTCCAACACCTGGCATATGAAGAAGCAACTGGCCTAAGCCATAGCAAACTGGGCATCACGTTTTAACAGTCTGGGCCTGAAAATACAGCCATGCCAACCCATTGGCAGGGTCCTTGGAGTTTTGGAGGGAGGAAGGGGGGAAGTCAGTTCTGAGTGAGGCTGAGGAGGAAGAATGTATGTCCTAGGGAGAGAGGGGGAAAATCAGAAGGCATGTGAAGGGTTCCCTCTTATCAAAGGAATACAGTGATTCCAAATACATTCAAGAATCTTCATACAGTAGGGGCCCCTAAAGTACGTGGGAGCCCATAACATGATCTGTCTGAGGTTTTTGTGACCACGTTATGCACAGTGTCTGTGGAATAGACGGGAACACATCATTTGTGGTGTCTGGAGTGGTCAGTCACTGTGGGGTGCTGTGAGGAACAGGGTCACTTGTAATGCCATGGGTTGAACAGGAGTAAGGATACTCAAGTGTCAGTGGTGTAGATACAAGCAGCATCTTGTATATACCGAGGTTGAGTCACTCAGAGTGTTTGTGGAGTGAGGTGGTCCCTAATAGTGTCTGCAAGGTGCACTAGAACAAGGTCACCCTCTAGGTTTGTATTAAGAATACAAACAGGTCACTCACACTCATTATCTGTGTGAATGGCAATATTCCATGGGCTTCTGGGGTATAAGTCAGCATTGTCACTAATAATGTTCTTTTCTAAGATCATCTGGTCTGTAAGGGAGTAGATAATGTGATATCTTCAGACATTAAGGAATAGATAAGAAATGCTTAATAGTTTTTATTGGGTTGTTGGAGCATTCCTACAGTAAGTGGAACATTGGTCTTGGCAGTCAACAGTTCAGAAAGTTACATTTATTTTGATATCTGTATAGTTTTGGGTACATTAATTAGCCAGTAAATAAAGGAGTAGAGCTATACAATGATTTTACTCTCTATATCAAAATAATATATTTTCCTAACACATGCAGTAATATGGAAGATGTGTAATGCAGAAATATTGTTGCAATCTGAAGAATATATCAGTGACTTACGATATAAGTGAGAATATTTGAAATTCATACTGCTGAAAGATTTGGAAAGCATGGTCCTCAAAAAAAAAAAAAAACACTCAATAGCAGTTCAAAGATAAGAATTGTGACTGGGTATGGGAGGAGGTTTATCTTTGAAACATAATTTTATGTTCAGTGACTAGAAATGAAGAACAGCTAAGGGATAGGGAACTCCAGGGGGAATGGTCAGCTCTGTCATGCACAGTGCTAATGGGGTAAGTTGGAGGCCACATTATGCACAGTGTCAGACATAAAAGTCAGACATGGAAGGGCTCATACAGTTGCAAAATGACTCTGGTCTAGAATAAAGCCAGATCACCATGATGCTGTGCCGTGTCTTTCCCTGTGCTCAGATAAATAGTGATTATTCAGCCCTAGTGGAAAAGGAGATGAGAATGTTTCCCTCTAGCACAGTGGGGTGTGCGGAAAATAAAACTCTCTCTCCAGATGGATTTACATGAGTAAGACCATGTTTTACACATTTCCTTTTAGCTTTGTCACCTTCCAGCTCTGTCATGCCTGATTGCAATAGGATGACTAAGGCAGGATTGAGTATAAAGAACATTGAATGTGAAAGAATGTGTTTTCTCTTTGGGGTAAATCCACTGATATTTGCAAATAAGTAAAGATAACATTAGAAATAGTGTCAATGGCCTATCTCTCAGAACGGCCATCTTCCAAGTAATTCACCAAAATGCCTGATGCAAAGTGAAAGAGGAGAGGTACCTGGTATGCAGGGTGTATATGTGTGTGTGTGTATAGGTATATTTGTGTGTGTATATATACATATATATGTATATATATTTAGAAAACATGGGAGTGAATATTGTTCAAAAAGCCATGCCCCATAAAGAAGAGTTTATGATGTGACCCAGCATGCTTTTGGCACTGTTGTAAACAGACAAGGTAAGGGCAAGAGAATTAATATGCATATTGAGCATATTAAGCACTCGAAGAAAATGATCAGAAAAGAAAAAAGTCAAAAATAAATGTTATTTTTTTCAACTGAACCACCAGTCTGCTCCATCCAGAGAAGTATATTTTGTCAGAACCATTGGGAAAAAGCCTGAGCTGCTGGAACCTATGGCCTGTGAATTCATGACATCGTAAGTATAAAATGAAAAGGAAAGGAAAGGAAAAAGACCTCTGGACTACAGGGGAAGGAAGAAAGGAAAGAAAAGGAAGAAAGGCAGCAGAAATAATGTCAATATGGGTAGCTACTAGTTCTAGTGAATTGGTCTGCCATTTGGGATGCTGTCATGCCATATCAGAGTTCAAGTCCCAGCTCTGTTCCCTATCGCAGCTTCCTGTTAGTGCACACCTGCTAGACAGCAGGTCAGATAGCCCAAGCACTTGGATCCCTGCCACCGTATGGGAGACTTAGATTGAGTTCCGGGCTCCTGGCTTAGACCTGGCCATTGCAGGTATTTGGGGAATAATCAATGAACAGGAGCCTTCTCTTTCTTTGTTTCTATCTCTCCCTCAAATTAAATAAATAAAATTTAGGGGAAAAAATAGGGTCGGTGGGGTTGCAGGAGACAGATCTGCATTGTGTTACCATATTGCAACTGAAAATGGCCAGATAGGACATAGTATATATACATCTAGCCAGGATGTGTCAGAAACACCCTTATGTATTGAGGGACCACTTGTTTTGAGGCCTAATGGTGTATATAAGGGGTAAATTCTTGACAACACAGATGCAGATGAAGGGAGGCTACAGGTTTAGATGCATGGTTTCTTTGGCAGGTGGGAGTCAAGTTTCAGAAAGTGTCTACAGTGAGCAGGCATATTATTTAACATATTGAGAATAAGGTCACAAAACAGAATCATCCATGGTGATTATAGTATTTTATACTTACAGTTGAGATGTTGCAAGCAAATCACACACTGTCTGTCAATTAACTGGAAGAACACATGAAAGTCTACATGGGTACATTTAGGCATACTTCTTTGCCCCCACAAAGATGGTATCTGTGTCAATGGAGTGGCCAGAAACTTGCTACATACTACATCTGCAGAGTGACTGAGGACCTGCTTGTTTGGTTATGTCAGATTTTATTGCATATAGGTAGCCAAGGTAGCTCACTGTGTGTGTATGGCTATGCACCCACGTGAGCATGTGTGTGTACAGTGGCTCAGCAGCATTTTGGGCAAGTGGGCTTCCACTTTAAGCCTGGACCAGACTGGAAAAGTACAGAGACAGGTGCAGTGTGGGGGCCATAGGCACCAGAGTCTTCTGTTACCACTAGATGTCTGAATGCTTACAATAGACTTAAGAGTCTTCAATTCCGGTGCACCTACACCATTTGCTTTGGAAATAGGAGCTGGTGTCTGTCGCTCCCCCTCTTCATGGAGGAACGACACAGGACCCTGCGCTGTTCTTTTGTCTGCTCGGCTCTCCCCGGGTTTGCTGCTGGTTCTTCCCGGGTTGGCTACCGACCCTTCCACCTCCGTGGAAGGGCGGTTCCCCCTGCCACCTTCCCCACTTCCACGGGGGAGCGGCACACCGCCTGTCGGCTCTCTCGGGGGCTGCACAGGTGTTCCTTCAGATAGATGTTCCTCTTAGATGTTCCTGGTGCATGTTGTCTCTCTCCTCCTTTATAGTCCTCTTCACCAATCCGTGCTCTGCTACTCACACGCTGAGCGCGCTGCTCTCCTCCAATCAGGAGCAGCTCCTGCAGCTTGTCAAGTTGGTGAGAGGCAGCTGGGTAGAAGCTGTTTGCTCCTCTCCCAGCACCATATTGTGGGAGAGCAGATGCATAGAATAAGTCTTAATTCCAGTAACTTAGTCTAGTCCGAGTTGCTCCCAGTTGCTCCCCAGAGTGTCTAGGGCCTTTGACCTTCAGTTTCCTCATCTGTCAATTGAACAATGTTTCTGTGTGTTTCTAAAGATCCTTCCAGTTCATAAATCTCACATTTCTTCCTTTCACTTATTCTCCCTCTCTCAGATCAACAGTAATTACATTTTTATGACCCTTAAAGATTAATGATGCGGCTGGCGCTGCGGCTCACTAGGCTAATCCTCCACCTTGCGGCGCCAGCACACCAGGTTCTAGTCCCGGTCAGGGCGCCGGTTCTGTCCCGGTTGCCCCTCTTCCAGGCCAGCTCTCTGCTGTGGCCAGGGAGTGCAGTGGAGGATGACCCAAGTGCTTGGGCCCTGCACCCCATAGGAGACCAGGATAAGTACCTGGCTCCTGCCTTCGGATCAGCGCGGTGCGCCGGCTGCAGCGCACTGGCCGTGGCAGCTATTGGAAGGTGAACCAACGGCAAAGGAAGACCTTTCTGTCTCTCTCACTGTCCACTCTGCCTGTCAAAAAAATAAAAAATAAATAAAAAATAAAAAGATTAATGATGCACATCTTAATGTCATTGTATCTTCATTAGAACTATGAAGGAAGCTTTTTATCCCCCTTTTAAAGATAAGGCAATGGATGTTCAAGTGAATTAAATGATTTCTATTGTCTTAAAACTAGCAAGGATACAAAAAAGGCAGAACTACAGTATGAGCCACACCCTTTGAACTCTGTATTCCTCCTTCATTTATCGATGCAGTACATCTTAGTTGAGAACCAAGTAAGCTTCAGGCAGAGGGGACTGAGCAGTCAATGTGGAAGTGTTTGTGCCTTCATGGAACTCATGGTCTAGCCTGGGAAATAGACATTAAGTATATCCTCGAAGGTATAGAATGTGAGGAGAGGGAAAGGATTTTCTGGGGCAGGTGAAGAAAACTCGCGACAAGAATAATGCACATGAAGGCTTACAGCTGAAACAGGGGTGTGAGCTAAAGAGACTGAAAACTGGTGAGGAGGAGGCAGGTGCTGGAAGGCAATTAGGCTGCCAGAGAGGAAGTCAGAGGCTAGGATGTACAGGACGTAGAACCATGCTGAATATTTGGGCTTCATCTCAAAACTGTCGGGGGATTCAGAAGAACAAGTAGATGTGGTGCTGTGTGGAATGGAATTGGAATCAAGCCAGATGTGTGAGAGTCAGGGGCCAGGCTATGCCGCAGGGGCAGTGGCCTGGGTGAGCAGAAAGAACCTGATGGTGGATGCCAAGGGAAAGACAGCTTTGCAGGATGTTCAGGAAGTGAGGTCAGTAGGACCTGGTGAATGATTGGATGTGGTGAATTTGGGCCAGGCAGGAGAAAAGAATTCTATTCTTTATGTGAAAAATATTTGTTAGGATCTTATATTTGCCAGCTTTGGGCTAGGTGTAAGCATTTGAACAGGATAAAGTTTTGATCTCATGAAATTTACCTCATCTTGGTTTGAGATAAAAGGTAAATCAAAATGCACACATAATTATATAATTATTATTGTATATGTGCTACAAAGGAGAAATAAAGTGAAATATGGTTGATAAGTACAACAAAGAGAAGTACAATTTAACCTAGTGAGAGGATTAGGGAAAACTTAAGGGGAAAACCAGGAAAATACAGTACCACGCATAATAAGAATCAATATTTCTCACATCAATAGTGTTAAATTCTGACAAGAATCATCCAGAGTAAAGGTCCAAAGAGCCTTCTGTGGAATCAATAATATGGAGATGGTTGGGGACGTTGGCAGAATGGCGCTTCTGGAAGCTGGGTTGGAGGCAGGTGTCTGGGATGTGAAGACAGCAGATAGGGGCAAATCCTTCTAGGTGTTTGAAAGATGAGAGAGACGTGGGAATGCTTGAATACTAGTGGAGTGGTTCTAGCAGAAAAGTTGAAGGCCTGAGAGACAGAGAGAGATAACCCATAGTAAGAGGTCCCTGAAGAGGTGGGACAAAGAGGAAGGACACCTCTTGCATTTTCTGAGGAGGGATATAAAAAGAGCAGGAACACTTCTCACTTTGGATTGCAAGACATTGAAGCAGATCCACTTCATTGGATTCTGAATTCTTTGCAAATTAAATGAGATGTTTTGCTAGCAGTGAGAAGAAAGGCAGGGAGGTCCAAATTTTTAGCGATAATACAGAGTTCACATGGGTCTTGGAGAGAGAAGGAGAATAAAATAATGAAAATAAGTGTTCTGGACCTCACTGATGTTGATAACAGTTGTGTCTATCAGAGTCTCAATCTAGTGAGTCTGGATATCATTTCACTTTGCAACAATTATCTCTGTAATTGAAAATAAAATTGTTCCTGCATGACAGTGCTCCCCTAGACATTCTAAACCTGGTGTAAAGAAACTATAGTACTTTGCACATTGGCTGTGGTAACCTGACCTATTTAAATCTGATGTGAATAGCTTGGGAGGAAGATTCCTCTTCTGACACTGTTTTTCTGGGCTGTTAGATATATGGTGTGTCATACACAGTGTCTGGAGTAACAAGAGGCTGAGTCACTTTGGGTGTCCAAAGGATAGACACAGAGAGACTGAATTTGACATATGCTATTAATAGTCTAGAGGAGGGGCTGCCGCCTACGTGCAGGTATCTCATATGGGTGCCAGTTCAAGTCCTGGCTGCTCCACTTCCAATCCAGCTCTCTGCTATGGCCTGGGAAAGCAGTGGGAGATGGCCCAAGTGCTTGGGCCCCTGCACCCTCTTGGGAGACCCAGAAAAGGCTCCTGACTGCTGGCTTCGGATCTGCTCAGCTCTGGATGTTGTGGCCATCTGGGGAGCGAACCAGTGGATGGAAGACCTCACTCGCTCGCTCTCTCTCTCTGCCTCTGCCTCTCTGTAACTCTGGCTTTCAAATAAATAAATAAATCTTTAAAAATAGTCTAGAGGAAAATGACCACTCAGAGCATTTAGCAGTCTTGCAAATGGTCTTATGCCCAAATTTGACACCTCGTAATTCCCCTGAATCACCCATAAGGCTGTAAACTCCATGAAAACAAGATCATTGTCCCATTTACTACTGTATACTTAAAAGGGTCAGCAGTTAAATGTTTATTAAATGAATAAGAAATGGAAAGTTTTATAGGGGCTATAGCTTATTGTGCTGGGTACCACTTGTCTCAAAGAATAACAATGAATGGAACCTAGGAAATGTGTCACTCTTCTTTATGGTCCCTCCCTCTGAGAGGTGAAAGCAGACAAGGTGTCACAAACCGTTGTCTTTATTCTTCCTTAGCATTCAGCCCTGATGGATGCTGAGGAGCCTCAGTATGGAACCTCCACCCCCATCCCTGCCAAAGAGGAATTCAGCGTTACCCCTGAAGCTCTCATGCGAAGCAGCCAGATCCCTGCCTTGGGACCAGAAGCTCAAGAAGGCCAGGACCTATGCAATAACTGGGACGAGGGGCAGAGACTCTCAGCGACCCAGCCAAGCGAGTTAAGGGATGTGAGTGACTATGCAGCCGAGACCGTGCCTTCTTTCCCCAAGGAAAGTTCCGTGGAGGTGGACAGCGATCAGGAAACCTTTGTGGCTGAGGTCAGCAACACTCCAGAGCTGCAAGAGCCAATGGCCCAGAGCCTGGCAGATGAACAAGCAAGGATCCCAGCTCCATCAGAACTCCAGTACCATCCTATACAGAGTGAATGCCCAGGCATGGTCCCAATATCCAGTGATTTGGGCAGCAGAGTGGAGAAGGAATTTCAACCAGAACTGACTTCTTTGACATTGGAATTTGAACAAGCAGAAGAGAAGGGGCAGACCTCTCCTGGTAGTTCTCAAACAATGTTTTGGCCTCTGTGCAAAGAGCCCACCACAGAGACCAACCAGGCTGAAGGTTCTGAAAGCAGGATTATCCCGCAGGGGGAGAAGCTGCAGTTGGAGGAGGTTCAGGAAAGTCGAGGGCAAGAAGAGCCATTGCATCCCCAGGGAGCTCAGGGGCTGGAGGATTTGGGACAACAGACAGTGGAGTCTCAGGGGACAGAAACTCTGCAGAATGTTTCTTCTGATGGACTTTGGGAAGAGCAAGAACAAATGGTAGAGCAGGTGACTGGTAATGAGGAAGAAGAAAGGCAAAAAAAGGAACAGGTCCAGGAAGATGGGATACTGGGAAGACAAGGAGAAACAGAGAGGCTGGTTGAGGAACTGGAAGGTCTGAATTGTGGTGAGCAGGATGAAGAGCATAGGGAAAAGAATGCTGAGCATCAGAAAGGTCCAGAACAGGCAGAGCAAGCAAAGAGGGAATTGAGCGGGCCAGAGAAGAGGAGGGTCAGCTCTCAGGACATGGAGTGTCAAAGCTTGGTGGGCAGATCAGAGGAAATAACTAGACAGCAAGAAGGTGAGGGTCTCATGGGAAAAGTGATGTCAGTGGAGGGGCAGGAGGAGGAGGAGGCATTGTCAGATGAGCAGGAGCCAGGAAATTGGGATGGGAGCTTGCAGGGAGCAGTGGGAGAAGAGAGATCAGAAGAGGAGGAAGAGCACCATGGGCCTCCCACACTGGTGCTGGTACCCTCTGAGATCTCTTCTCCCTTTGACTTCTTTCCAGATGGCTCTTATCCCATGACTCAGGTTCCTGGGACTCAGATGGAGCCCAGGGCTGTGGAACTGTCCCCCATAGTTCTGACCCCTTTACTGGAGCCAATAGAATGCTCCCACCAGCCTGTTTCTCTACCAGACTGCTTTCCTAAAGTGGAATCACCTGACAATGAAACGGCTCAAGACACTGAAACAGCTCAAGAGAGCCAGCAAGAAGAATCTGAACTGAGTAAGGAGACAGCATCCAGCCAGGGGACTGAGGTGGTCCCGGGTGATACATCTGTGACTCCTTCAAGGACATTGGATGCAGCTTTATCCAGTCCAGCTGAAGTCTCTACTATCACAGCTGCATCATCTACCAGTCCCCCAAGTCCTTCTCCCAGGAGTGAGACCTCCAGAGCCCCTCTCTCTACTGACAGTCCATCTCTCTGTGAGGCTTTCAAGATTCCCCTGGATACCCTCCATGGTTTCCCCTCTGCAGAGGCCACCATGAATCCATGTGCCAGCTCCAACAGATCCAGCCTTCAGAGCCCTCCAGCCAACTGCACAGGGGCCATCCAACACCTACGGAGCAACTCCTTTCCAGGCTCTCACAGGACAGAGCAGACTCCAAACTTGGTGGGAATGTCGCTATCTTTATCCCACTCAGAGTTGCCCCAGAGGCCCCCCAAACCTGCCATCTATGGCTCTGTAATCCCAAGAAGAGACAGGAGAAGAGGTAGGGACTGCAACATCATTTCAGAATGCCCTCCGGCATTTTCCACTCCAAAGCAGGACTCTCAAGAATTCATCTCAAATCCGGAGAGGCCCAGCAGTCCTACTTTTAGCCAGTCATGGCACTCCCCACATAATTCATCCTTTGACACAGAGCCTCCTGCCTATGGTTCGTCCCCATCCCTTGCCTCCATGGATCTGCGGAGTCATGAACCTCTGCCCCCTCCTCCCCTAGAGAAGAGGCATGTCCATCCCTCCATAGTGGAGAGAGATGGCCATCTTCACACAGTGGCTCCCACACTGAAGCGGTATAGCCACCCTCCTCCATTGACCCTAGGTTCAGGGCTACATGGCATTCCTAAGGCCCCACTTCCCCAAGTTCCTGACCCACTTGTGGCAAGGCAGCACCGACCTCTGCCATCTACTCCAGATGACACTCACCATACTCAAACCACTTTTCCCCCCAGACTGAGATACAATAAGCCATTACCCCCAACTCCTGATATGCCCCAGCCCCACCAGTCTCCCATTTCTTCTTCCAGTAGTTCAAGGATCTACAGGCCACTACCCCCTATCCCCATTATGGATCCTTCCAGTGAACCACCCCCACTGCCTCCAAAATCCAGGGGGAGGAGCAGGAGCACTCATGGAGGACTTCCAAGTTCAGAAGGTCAAGCTAAACCAAGACCTGTTGGTCAAGACTGGACAATCTCCACTCCCCCTTCTGCTGGACGTACCTCCTGGCCCCCTGCCACAAGTAGAGCTACAGAGTCTTTGGCTTCCACCAGTAGAAGTAAGAATGAAGTGTCTGGCATGGCTTTCAGCAACATGACAAATCTTCTAAGCCCCTCTTCCCCTACCACTCCTTGGACTCTGGAGTTCCATGGACCCACCCATAAGGGTGAGCAAGGGCTCTTGGAAGAGCCTGAGGCCTCTGCAAGAGGACCTGTGAGAAGAACAGCCCCTCAGGAAGAGGCCAATAGCTCAAGGAGGTCTGTAGTACCAGCAAGGCAGCCAGAAAAGCCCAGCCATCCCCAGCTGGAGAAAGCATCCAGCTGGCCCCATAGGCGGGACCCAGGGAGACCACTGGAGGGCAGCAGTGGCCAGGTTGTGCTCCCTGGTGAGGGGCCCAATAAACAAAAAAGCTGGAACCGGCAAGGCCTGCGCAGACCTTCCATCTTGCCTGAAGGCTCCTCAGGTGAGCAAGAAGCAAAGACCCCAGTGACACTAATGTCAGACGACGCTTTGTCCAATTGCTTATCACTTCTGTGATCTGTTCCCAGGCCTCTGCTGGTCCCTCAGCTGCTTTCACCCATATCCATACCCAACCGTCATCTTCCTTCTTCCCGTCTATCTCACGGCTTCTCTCCAGTCAGCCTTCCTTTCGTGTGCACCTCTTTTTCCCAGGGCTGTTTTGTTTTCTCTCCTACTTTTCAGTCAGTGCTTTTTGCCCACCTGATCTCCCCTGGGCAGTTGAGATGGCAGCCTCCATTTGTCCAATTCTCATTCAGAAACAAGGACTGGGGAAATTGCTGTTCTGTTCTCTGCTAATGCTCTCTGCTCTGACACTGTCTTCCCTCCCACATTCCCCACATTCCCAATAGATCCCTTTTTTTTTCCTTCTGGATATCTGAACCTCCCTTTACAGGTCTTAACTTCTTCAGCTGTCTCCGTTGTCCCTCTGAAATCTGTTACAGCACCCATTTCCATTTTCAGATCCAAGAGGTCCAGCCTTGGAGAGATCCTCTGGCCCCTCAGACACTATTGTTTTCCGGTGAGTCCACCTTTCTCCTTAGAGACACACTTGTATTCTCTTCACTGAGATTTCTAAGTTAGGATTTTAGTTGATAAGGGTCCTGGAAGCCTGAGTGTCTCATGCCTGTCTCTTTGGGGAGTAGGGAGAGGAAGACACAGTCACCAGTATTCCAGTATAGGAAGATTTCCTTATACCTGCCTTGTTCTGCCAGCCAGGTCTGAGTCACCTACCCTCCTAAGCCCTTCAGCCATGAACTAAACCCCATGAAAAATTCCACATGACTCCAAAAATGCTCTGAACCATCCCAAGTGCATCCAGTTATATCTCTGTGCCTCTCCAGGGGATTTGGTCCTGACATCCCAGCACGTGCCCCAGAGGTTAGACTGTCTCATCAGGGTCCTCTGGATCTATGGCCAGCAAGCAGCCCACAGCTCTTCTTTACTCCACAGAGAGAAAAAAACAAAGGACGTGATGGGAGGCTTTTCAAGACGTTGCTCCAAGCTCATCAACTCCTGTGAGTACCTTGAAACAAAATTCTAGACCCAGGCAGGGGTCTGGCCAAGACTGGAGAGGCACTTATGGCCTTCGGCAGGGGGGTGGTGCTCTCCACTGGGAGATGGATTGCCAGGAGAGTCAGAAGAGCTGGGCAACATCCATCTGTTTCTGGGCCTCCGCTCACCTTCCCTTCCTCCCAAACCCCTGCCTCTCCCGTGCTTCCTCACCCCTCTAGCCCAGCTGCTATACCAGGAGTACAGCGATGTTATTCTGAACAAGGAAATTCAGAGCCAGCAGCGCCTAGACAGCTTGGCGGAGGCACCTGGTACTGCCTCTCCCAGGCAGCATCGAAAGACCCTGGTGTCCTCAGAGTCCTACCTGCAGCGCCTCTCCATGGCCTCCAGTGGCTCCCTCTGGCAGGAAATCCCTGTGGTGCGAAATAGCACTGTGCTGCTCTCCATGACCCACGGAGACCAAAAACTGCAAGAGGTACCAAGTGGGAGCAGGGTGAGGCGGTGGAGGGTACAGAGAAGACAGCAAAGTCGTGTCTGGCTACCTCCTTATCTTCTCATCACACACATGTGTTCATTAATGTCCTGAAATTGTTTTTGAATGTCACCACTATCCTTTTTCTACACTTCCTTATGCCATAGGCTCTTTACTTCCCTTATTCAAGCAGGGTTTCAGGCTACCTAAAAATTTTCATCTTCAACCGACATACTTACAGGGGCCTTTGGCTGAGTCCCTTAAAGAGAGCACCTGGCAGGTGTCCTACCCTCACTAATCTAGTAGAGACTTTAGAATAACCACAAGTGTCTGCTGGGCCATTACTTTCAACAGTGAAACTATAGTAGAAGTGAAATTATAGTCAAAGCTATTTGTCTGACATTAAGCTATTGTCATCTATAAGTTTTATATGGGAGTTTCTCATATTCTCAGATCTAAAATATGAAGTAGACCCTTTCTTCCTAGGAAAATAATATGGCACAATGGAATAGAATAGTGTTAATTAAGTTATAGACCAAATGACCTGGATGACCAGTTTGATAATTGCTATTACACTTTGGCCAAATTACTTGATCTTTTAAAGGTTCTGTTTCCTTGTTTGTAAAACAGAAACAAAGAGTGAGTGGGGGAATCACAAAAGATCAGTGTCTTATACATAGTCATCATTCAAAAACAGCTCTCTAATTTTAAGGAAGACAGACATGGGTTTCATTCATGGCATCACCTTTTACCAGCTGTGTAACCTTAGGCAAGTTATATAACTTCACTAAATCCCAATCTCCACATCTGCAGAGTGAGGACAATGATGACTACCTTTGGGGCTGCTGTGTGGTTTAAATGAAATAACACATTTCTGGCTTAACATAGTACAGGGGTTGAGGAATATTTGTGCCATACTCTCCACCTTTCAGAGGCAAGGAGGAATAAAATTTTGACTAGAAGGACTTAGAGAAAAACAATTCTTTCACCTCATCAAGTAGAGACAGCTAGACATTTTTAGGCTTTTCAAATCTCAGGCCCAAGGGCCCTGTTCTGATCAGAACTTTTAAAGAGCATGAGAGATGTTTAGAAAATCACTGATCTGACCATATTTGGTCTTCCATCTGCTGGTTCACTCCCCAATTGGCCACAACGGCCAGCACTGCACTGATCCAAACCCAGGAGCCAGGAGCTCCCACGTGGGTGCAGGGGCCCAAGGACTTGGGCCATCTTCCATTGTTTTCCCAGGCCATAGCAGAGAGCTGGATTGGAAGTGATATATATGTCTCCAAAAATACAAATGAAAAATGAGGTTCACGGTGATTAAATGAGCCACCAGAAGTCTAATCATCAGTGAATGTCAGAGCAAGGATGCACAAACCTTCAGTGTTCTGGCTCCATGTTGTATGAGAAGGTCATCTGGCTATGGCATTGGTTATCCAGGCAATTGGGTTATCTGTTTTCTGCCCAACTGTCCATCTGAAGCCCAGTGAGAAGCATGAGCCCAGCTAGAGACATGGCCATGACTCATTACTCCCCCTGCTGGAACCTCCGGACAGGGTCTCAAGCACTGGGATTTTTCTTTGTTCTTTTCTTTTTCTATGTTCTTTCCATTTCTCCTCCAACCCCAAACTGAACTGTCACCTTCATCTCCTGAATCTGTTCTTTCATATCTCTGACTTAGCAAATGATTCCATCATTCACCTATTTAGCCAACTCAGAACCCAAGGCATTCATCTGGATTCTTCCTCCTCTTTCAAGCCCATTTCCAGCAAATTACCAAGTCCTTCCAAATCTGCCTCCTAGATAATCATGAAACTGGCCTACTTCTCTCCATCCCCATGGCTCTTCAGGCCTGCGTCTCTCATCTGATGTTACTCTAACATTTCCTAACATGGCTCTACCCATGTCATCTTTCCATTTCCAGATGTTGCTTAGCAACATCTTTGTAAAAAATAAATCTCATCAATTATTCCCCTACATAAAGTTTTTCTTTGTTTTCACATTGTCTGAATTCCAAACTTTTTTACATTGTTTATATAACTCTCCAAACCTCATCTCCCCTTGCCTCTTTAGCTATGTCTTTGGCCACTATTCTTGTGCACTTGGTTATAAAAATGTTAAATTTGTTTAGATTTATTTTTAAATAAATTTCTTTGTGTATATATGTTATATAGCATGGTGTTTTAGAATACATATGCATAATAAAAAGGTCACTATAATGCAAGAAATTAACATCTGTTATCTCATAATGTTACTCATTTTGTGTGTGTATGTTATTTAGATTTCTTGAAAACATATTTTTCTCTTACAATTTTGGGAGCTACATGTCCTTTGACATCTAGACTAAATCCTACTCGAATAGTTCTTTCTGTGTCTCACCAGATCAAATTAGGTTCTAGTGTGAGCATTTGCTATGAAAAGAATCTCTTATTCACCACTATGCCCCTAAGATATAACACAGTGGCTGATACACATTAAGGAGTCAATAAACATTTTTAATGACTCTTCTTTCTCTCCAACTTCCAGGCCAAATTTGAGCTGATAGTGTCGGAAGCCTCATACCTGCGTAGTCTAAATGTAGCTGTGGATCATTTCCAGCATTCAGCCCAGCTCCGAGCCACCCTGTCCAACCAGGATCACCAGTGGCTCTTCTCTCGCTTACAGGATGTGCGAGACGTCAGCACCACGTGAGATTCCAGTTCTCCCCAATTCCTTTTGTTTTGTGTCACTACCTTTAGCCTTTAAACTTTCAACTGGTTTATCCCTCTCAGAAACCCTCCAATTGCCACAGTTGCAGGATGAAATTGGGCCTCAGCTACCTCCATGATTCCCAGTGCCCACAAGGGTAGGAAGAGCAAAGAAGAAGGGAGAATTTGTGGGTAGATAGATATAATGGATAAATAAATAAATAAAGGATATGTCCTTCCTGGGTTGAGGTTATGAATGTACTATGTCCCTCACTGCATTGGAAATGAGGTATGGAAACCATCTAGAGATCAAAAAACCACAATAGAATTTAAAGATGAATTTAAAGATGGAGTATTAAGATCAGAGTGTTAAATCAGTATAAACTAGAAACATTCTCGGAGGGAATTCTAGTAAACAGCAAGGGGCACAGTGCTAAGGTGAGCCAATAGAATTATGAGTAACTGAGAGAAGTCAGAAGTGCAAGGTATAGCAAGGGTCAGCCAAGTGCTTAGTTGAGGCCCAGCAATCTCATACGACTTGTTTAAATACTGTGCAGGTTCCTTTCAGACCTAGAAGAGAACTTTGAGAACAACATCTTCTCCTTCCAAGTGTGTGATGTAGTCCTGAATCATGCCCCGGACTTTCGCCGTGTCTACCTGCCTTACGTCACCAACCAGACCTATCAGGAACGCACCTTCCAAAGCCTCCTGTGAGAGTGATCCCATGCAATCCCCATTTGGGCCCTGCGGTGACATTGCACCAGTCCTCAGCCCAGAGAGCACATGTTCTTGTGCCTGCTGTGTTACCTTATCTCGAGTTCCAACCCCCCTCCAAATTAGACTGCCTCACCACTCACATCTGGGCTCCCTGTATTTCAGCTCCCTCCATTCTTTCCCAACCCACCAATAGTCTACTGAACTTCCATTCCCCATACCTTTACCGATTCCCCGTTGCTCCTCATATCCCTCCTCACTGAGACTTGCTCGTGCAGAAATAGCAACAGCAGTTTCCGAGAGGTCTTGGAGAAGCTGGAGAGTGACCCCATCTGCCAGCGTCTTTCCCTCAAGTCCTTCCTGATTCTGCCCTTCCAGCGCATCACCCGCCTCAAACTGCTGCTGCAGGTAACGTTGTTCCTTGGTCTCTCCACTTAACTCAAAGGATAACCTTGGGAAGCCCTGAGGCAAAGAACTACCCATTCTTCTGCCACAAAGCCACATCCTGTGGGTGATGTGAGCAGTCTCCCCACTGCACATGCCCTTCTTTCTCAGAAATATTTGTGGCTGAAATTTTGTCCTTGACCCTCTCCATTAACCAATCCCAAATTATGTCCTCTTTTCTCATTCTGTCCTTCTGCCTGGCGCCTCCCTACTGTTTGTTCTCTAGAACATTCTGAAGAGAACACAACCTGGCTCCTCAGAGGAAGCAGAGGCCACAAAGGCTCACCATGCCCTGGAAGAGGTAGGCAGCTTCCCCCTCTACTCTTACCCTGGATTGCTTTCGATGACTTTAGAGAGCATGGTAGTAGGACTGTCTATATGCAAGGATTCAGCCACCTCCCTGCACCCAGAAAATCTCCAAATATACCCAACCGTCAGGTTCCTCTGCCACCCTAAATACACAACACATCCAAGGACTATGCCCACACTACCACAAGCCCCATAGTAAATCTCATTTTCACTCTTCAGTCTTGTTCTGTCCTTTCATACAAGGATATCAGAGTCCTAGGACTTGACTTTGATGCTCTCTTTAATTCGTTGCAGCCTAGTAGAACAGTGAGGCTGTCACAACTTATTTCCAGATTCCTTGCTGTGGACTCAAAGGTCAGAACCTCTAACACCATGCTTTTCCCCTTTCCTCACCCTGCTCAACCTCAGCTGATCCGAGACTGCAATAACAACGTCCAGAGAATGCGACGGACAGAGGAACTGATCTACCTGAGCCAGAAGATTGAGTTTGAGTGCAAAGTGAGTCCCTCCCTTGCGTTCACACCCTGCTCCAGTTCTCTTCAGCGCATCCCACAGAGCAGCCATCTTTCTCACACTCTTCCCAGCCTAACCTCATTCTGCCCACCTTCTGTTCTGTCCTGAGACACCCACTTCAGTCTCCAAGATATAAGTGGGAAAAGGAAGGTGCCTTTGATCTCGCAGTGAGAGGATACAAACTGTGTATGTATCTGCTTGTGAGTGTATAAGGAAACTCTGGAATGATAATAAGAAAAAAAGGGAAAATAGTTCCCTGAGGGAAATGCAGAGGTAAAGGAGAGATGAGGGAGAGCTTCTCAGGATAAGGTTCTATAAAGTTGGTTTTTCGCGCTTGTGCGCTCGTAATTTAACGTCTCCTTCTGGTCTAACCAAAGCAACATAAAATTGAATTCAAATTTAGAGCCAACATCTCCCATCCAAACACAAACCTAAAATGGACATTCAACATTTAAATTCCAACTCAGAACAGATACTGTCTTTACCTACCAGGAAGAAAAGGAAAATCCCTTATCCACATAGTGATCATAGGCTTCATCCGTCCCCAAAGCAGACCCCACCCACCCCTACCCATTCTCCTTGTTCTCACCGACTGCTCCTCTCATGTTTCTGATTAAAATCAAGGAAGGAACAGATGCCAGAACTGTCCCTAATCTTTAGCTTCTAAGATACAGCATACTGTTCCCTGCCTTGTTCCTGCACAGATGCTAACTAGTGTCTTCTGTCTCCTTCATTTCAGGATTCTAGGGCAGAACTCTTTCCCATAGAACTACCCTGGGTTGTAACATGGGCACCTGCTAGTTGCATGAGTATAGTATAAGCACGGGAGCCATGCACCATTGGGCAATGGTAGTTAGAGGATTCAGAGAGAAACAGAATCTAAAGAGATGTGTTATAAACAAGAGGGAAGATGTGGAAGAGGTGACTATCAAGGGTAGGACTTAGGGGAAAGTGGCATGGGGAGGAGACTTGGACTGAGAGGAAGCAATGTGTTTTTCTTGTCTCTGACTCTGCCTTCCCACTCTTTCCCTACCTATAGATATTCCCGCTCATCTCACAGTCACGCTGGCTGGTGAAGAGTGGGGAGCTTACAGCACTTGAGTTCAGTGTCTCCCCTGGACTGCGAAGGAAACTGAACACACGTCCAGTCCACCTGCACCTCTTCAACGACTGTCTGTTGCTGTCTCGGCCCCGAGAGTCAGTGACTGGAATGGGAGACCAGAGCACAAAGATGGGAATGGGATGAGGCAAGAGGGAAGCTCTAAAAGGGACAGAGTAGGGTCATGTTCCTAGAGGAACTCTTCTGAAGAGCTCCACACATATAGTCCACATCACGGCCTCCAGGGGGTGGGGTGGGGGAGCCTGAAACAATAAAGGGGATTCCACTGTGTTGTGAGATCACGGAGCAGCACTTGTGCTGTATTATAGACAGGGAGCAAAATATACCGAATTAGCTTATCACATTCTCAGATCTATTTGTGGTTTCTTTAGGCATGGCTCAACCTAGAGATACTTACCTAATTCCATGTCTTACCCCTGATGTCCTAAAGACCTTAGAAAATCTATACTGGATCTGTCTTTTCAATTATTCAGGACAGTTACATACTCATTGCACTAGAAAGGTGGTTTGTAAAACTGGCAACAAATCCCTGAAGACTCTGGGGCTATCTCTTGAGAGCAAGTCAGGACCATCTGAGGGTTTTATGAGGATTTTCAGGCTAAAGATGCCAAGGAAAGAGATTTTTGAATGTGAAGATTTGATGGCGGATGAAGTGCGGAAACTCTTAGCAGCCTGTTAAAAAGATTTGTTTTTTACAGGGGCAGCCGCTTCCTGGTATTTGATCACGCTCCCTTCTCCTCCGTCCGTGGAGAAAAGTGTGAAATGAAGCTCCATGGACCTCACAAAAACCTCTTCCGACTCTTCCTGCAACATAACGCCCAGGGCACCCAGGCCGAGTTCCTCTTCCGCACCGAAACTCAGTGAGTGAGGCTGGGCAGAGGAGTTGGGCAGTGGGCAGCCTGGGGAGAAAGAAGGAACCAAGGCAGAAAATGTGTCCCGAAAACAGCCACAGCACCACATTCTGGCCTAGGGGGCATCCATTAGGAAACCTAAACTCCTAGAGCCTTTAGACAACTTGCAGGAATTTGGGGATGGAGAAGGCTTAGCATCATTTCATACCATTTAGTTGAGAAGGGCAAGGTCAGAGAGGCATCAGAAAGGAGACAGAGTGAAGAACTAGATACTGGGATCCATGAACAAATGCCAGCGTCAGTCTGGTGGGCTCATAGGTGACTAAAATAAACACTGGGCGCCTTTTGCTTTCCTTGCTGCCACCTCCCAACCCAGCCCTCAGTTGAGCAGAAATCCCTGTGTTGAGAACCTTGATATGTTCATCTTTTCAGTAATAACTTTAAATATATTCACACATACACGCATGTTTGGGAGTATTAATATCCACAGAATCTGGTACAAAATGTCTATCGTAATGAACATCTAAAAGGCTGTATCCATTTTAAAAGATAGAAGAGTCTTTCTTTTAAAAGTCTCGCATGATATCTCATGATTTCAGGATACCCACATTGTAAACACTTCTTAGTGTTGTATGAGGAGGGTGCCTCAGGTGGGATCAGTAACGCCTGTCCTCACTTGTGGAACAGAGGGCCTGGTACAGCGGTTCATTTGTAAAATATCACATACGGTGAATGAGCATATGCAGATTCCTCCTTGTTCTGTGGTGCTTTGGGTAGCATCTTCCTGGAACAAGAGCATCAGCTCCAAATTACCCAGAAACATCTGGAAATGGAGGCTAAGTTAATACCAAAACCTTCAGATGGTTACAGAATTAGGCCTGAATTACAGTTCCCATCAACAACAAAATTAATAGGTATATCTCCCTCCCTGAACTAATTATTATTATAGAATAGTTTTCATCTTTGTGATATCTGCTTGAAGGAGAGGGGCAAAGGAATATCAGGAATGATGCACAGTAGTGGAGAGAATCTAAACTGAGTTGACCATTTTGTTCAGTACAGTTTCCAAAGTGGGAAAATCTACATGTGCTTAATTGACAGTTGGTTTTATGCTTCCACTTGTAAAATATGAGAAACCATTAGTAAGATCCGCCTGCAAAGAGAAGGGGGAAAATAAGGTGTGACAAGACACATAGACATATAGTTCAAGACTTTGTCATATTTCCATCCAAGTTCTGTTGACATACCGTAGAAGTCACTGAACTAGACAACTTTGAATTAGACGAGCCCTGCTCACAGTCATCTGCTTTCCACACATTAGTCCTCATCCTACGTCCTACACTTGCAGAACTGCAGTTCAAGTTAGGACCCTGCTTTGTTTTCTCAGAAGTGAAAAACTTCGATGGATCTCAGCTTTGGCCACGCCAAGAGGGGAGTTGGACCTTCTAGAGTGTTATGGTGAGTGAGGGTCTAACCGGGAAAGAAAAATGACAGAGACACGGCTTTCTTTGGATATAGAGTTTTAGGTAAGGCTGAGTAGTAATTCTATGGAAATATTATTTATCGCTTTTCCCCAGAATTTCAGTGTGGAAAACTGGCCACTGGAGCTTGAAAACCTGAGCCCCATCTGCTTAAAATGGCTCATAACCATGGCAACATCTCCCCCATATACTCCCTGTCAATAGTTTGCTCTTTGGCTACAAGAGTTGGGAGTTGCGGGAGGATAGCCACGCAGATGTGTTCTAACCATGTCCTGCCTGCACAGGATAACCTGAAGCCACTCACCCCAGGCTTCCAGGCATTCGGGGCAGCCACAGGCACACACATGTTAGCCACGTGTCTATATCCACATTAAGGTACTAGGACTTCTCTTGGATCTCATATTAGCCCCACGGTTCTCCAGCAAAGATTCCCTAATTTATATCCAGAGAGAAGCTGAACTCAAAGGAACTCTGGGTCATTAGTGACCAGAAAGAACAAATAAATACCCTTAGATGGGGAAGTAGAACAGTGCTGTAAATGAGTTCTGTCAACTTCTCACTGTGTGCCCTGTCTGCTGGGCTTCAGTTCCCTGTGCGTAAGGAGACCAAGGTAACTACTCCTCCTTTGCTATGATCTTGTGAACGGCAGGTGGGATGAACTTTAGGAAAACAAGTCCAAATAATGGTACAGTGTTCTGTTTGTTTTCTGAGAGAACCAGTGCAGTGTGATAAAGTAGAAAGAGCAGTAAGCCCATGTAAGGTGGAATAGTTATGTCAGGCATACTTTATGGCTTGTCATCTTGACCCACAAAGCCATGGATGTTTTGTGCTGTTCACAAAAATATGCAAATCCATACATTTCCCCAAGATTCATCTTGATCAATGATCATCTTGATCATTTACAGATGAGGAGGGGAAGGTAAAGGGGATTGAGACTCTTGCTTAGGTCGTATCCTGACTCGTCTCTTCCAGCCCCGTGTCTGATACTGTGAAGGAAAGAAAGAATGAGTCACAGATGGATTTTGCAATGTATATGGATAGGCCACACACGTACATGAACCAATTAGATAAGGGGCAAATTCCTTGACTAGTCAGTCTATTTTAAAGGAGCTCGGAATCTTCTAAAGGCCAAAACTCAGGGAAGCTTTCAGAGGAAGGTCAGTGTTCAGCTGCATCTCAAGTACTTGTAGTGATGAATAACTAAAGGTGGTCACAATGTATCTCTCAGTTCATCTTCCCTGGAGAAGCTGAGTTTTTGATCATTTCAATTCTGGTATTTCTATTTTTATCAAGCATTTTGACCCCTCAAGATGAAGATGTTTCCAAGCGCCTCTTTTGTCTATAATTTTCAGTGGCCCAAACCTACCTCTATCTCAAGTCCTCTGACCTCCCCCTACAATTCGTTATTCATGTTCCAATCCCCTGTCTCCCCTAATGTCTCTCCCAACTCTTTACCGAAGACTCCCCACAAGTACAGTGCCTTCGAGCCTACAAGCCCCGCGAGAATGACGAGCTGGCACTGGAGAAGGCTGATGTGGTGATGGTGATTCAGCAAAGCAATGATGGTAAGAGGGAAGCTCCACAAGGAGTAGTCCAAGCACTGGAGGCAGGGCACTGTGGGGAGGTGGATTCGTTTCCTAGAGCTGCCGTAACAGAATACCACACACTGGGGGGCTTCAAACAACAGAACTTTATTCTCTTGCAGTTTTGGAGGTTAAGAGTAAAAATCCAAGGCCTTGGCAGGGCCATGCTCCTTCTGAAGCCCGTAAGGAGGAGCTTTCCTTGCCATGTCCAGTTCAGTAGCCCCTGGTGTTCCTTGGCTTGTAGCAGCTTAACTCCAGTCTCTGCCTCCATCTTCTTGGGGCCACCTCTGTGTGTTGATGCAAACTTCCCTCTTCTTATAAAGACACCAGTTATATGGGATTTATGGGCACTTTACTCTAGTATGACCTCATCCTAACTCTACCAGTTATATTTAGGACAACCTCGTGCCCAAACAAGGTCACATTTTGAGGTGGCAGGGATTAGAACTGAACTTGGGGAGGACAAAATTGGACCAAAACAGCGGAGGAGACTCGGGAGTGTGTAGCTGTAGACTTCTTCAAATTTAGGGCAGCCATGGTTAATACTTAGACAGGTTGGCTTCTCATTCTTGGGGAACCCCAATTCATTCAGCCTTAACACTCAGAAAAGTCTCCAGGAAAGAGGTCCAGAGAAATCTATCATCAACTTGTCCCAAGTCATTCTTTCTATCCACCCTGTGCCCACAGGCTGGCTGGAGGGTATGAGACTCTCAGATGGAGAACGAGGCTGGTTCCCCATGCAGCAAGTGGAGTTCATTTCCAACCCAGATGTCCGTACACGGAACCTAAAGGAAGCCCATCGAGTGAAGACTGCGAAACTACAGCTGGTAGAACACCAACCCTAGCTGTTCTCTGGAAGGAATCTCCAGAACTTGAGAACAAGCTGCTCCTGCAGAGAGCTGGCCCCAGAACCTTGCCTACAGAGGCCTTCCGTGGATCAAGAACTAGACCTTCTGAAATCCCAAGGACAAAATCGAGCTAACCCAGTCACTCGTCCCAGGCCTCCTTAGTTGTGCTTTGTGCTTGGTGGGGGGATTCTGAGGGACTTCACACTGGACTCTGGGAACATGGATTTGTGGGGCTGAGCCAAAGAACTTTACTTCTACTACTGTGTAGTTGGCAAACATTCTCTGCTTCCAGGTACAGACTCAGAGCTGGCCAAAGTTTCATTCATGGCTGTATATGTTAAACAATCTGACCTCAGTCCACCAGAAGGAGATGTTGAAGGAGGAATAACACCTCCAGTTGGGGGAGTCAGCCTGGTCACCTGTAGGTATCCTCCAACCCTAGAGCTTTTCTGGAATTATTGATGTGAGGTTAATGCATGCGTCTCTGAGGTCTATGTCTCTTGGTGACATTGGTGGTGATGTGAGGGTAGTACTCTCTCACTCTAATAAACTTGGCACTTCTGCAAGTGTTTTCTTCTCAGACACCTTTGCACTGCACATGGACTCATAGAAGATTCAGAACATGGAATGCTATGAGGGCTCCAGCCTTTGCTTTAGGTGTTATGGAAAACCAAGCTGGTGCATAAATTAGGGCAGCTACTGCTAACTCTGCTTCATCATTCCTGAGTTGGGGAAGTTTTATGCTTGTCACGGTTTCAGAGACTGTAGGGGGATTGAGAACCACTGAGGGGTGATAAAAGCCCCATTTAAACCTTTTTTCCCCCATTAGGTACAGATATAGACTGGTTTGGTTAGACTTGGAAGAGCCTACTCAGACTATTCTTGACTTTGTGTTATATTATTGTAAAGCTACCTTCCCAGCTGTTTTCTCTGTGAGAGGTACCTAGAAGCCAGATCAAGAGACCTGAACTGTGGTTACCACCTGCCATGATTCCACCTGTGTTACCTCCAATCCTCCATATGTAAAATGCAGGATAAGATGAAGTAAACTCCAAAGTCTAACTAACATTACATTATTCTCTACCTCCTTTTTTTTTTAAGATTTATTTATTTATTTGGCAGAATTACAGAAAGGCAGAGATAGAGAGAGAGAGGTCTTCCATCTGCTGGTTCACTCCCCAGATGGCTGCAAAAGCTGGAGCTGTGCTCCTTCAAAGCAAGGAGCCAGGAGCTTCTTCCGGGTCTCCCACCCGTGTGCAGGGGCCTGAGGAGTTGGGCCATCTACTACTGCTTTCCCAGACCATAGCAGGGAGCTGGATCAGAAGTGGAGCAGCTGGGATTCGAACCGGCACCCATGTGGGATACTGGCACTGCAGGCAGCAGCTTTACCTGCTACGCCACAGCACCAGCCTCTCTACTTCCTTTCTGATTTCCTTTCTCAATTGAAGGGTATTCTAACTTTTTTCTCATATACAGTCCTATATAACAGTGACATGATTGTCTTGTTATGCCATCTTTTGATCTGGATCATTATAGTCCTTTTTTGAAGATTCTACAATTCTGTTTTATGTATACAGAAGAAATCAAAAGTAGAACAGCATTGCAGTTTCTATAAATAAGAATAAACTATAAAATTTATCATATGCCCAATTAATTATGATATAATTTTTATAATTGTATTACTTTTAATAATGCACTCTTTTCAATTAATCCTAAAATATGTTAGCCTGCTTTTTTAAAAGTATAATAAGTATAATAATCAAGTATAATAAGTATAAAAGTATAATAATCAAGATGGAGACTATTACTATTCTATCCAAAGCAGGATGACATTGCTGAAACATCTAAAATAGGGATGGTTTCAGAGAAGTTCATTGAGATTTTTCACAATTTTCATAAACCAGACTTTTAAAATAATACTTATTAATATATGGTATAATAATTTATAAATATTAGTGTTTAAATAATTGATTCTTATAGAAATGACAGTACTAAAAATCCAAATTATTTTTGCAAACAAGTATTTGAGTACTGACTGTATCGCTCATAAAGAGCCACATCTAACCTTATATTTTCCGGGCAAATTCTCCATTGTTTTCTCAGATAGGTAAATTAATCAACTTCTGAATGCCACACAAACAGTTTTTTTGAATTTCACAACTACTTCTTTGCTTGATGTTGCTAAGGCTTTCTGATCTCTTTGAACCTAACTTCAACTTTCTTTTTTTTTAAAGATTTATTTATTTTATTTGAAAGACAGAATTAGAGAGAGGCAGAGATAGAGAGAGGTCTTCCATCCACTGGTTCACTCCCCAAATGGCTGCAATGGCTGGAGCTGTGCCGTTCCAAAGCCAGGAGCCAGGAGCTTCTTCTAGGTCTCCCACATAGGTGCAGGGACTCAAGGAGTTGAGACTTCTCCCACTGCCTTCCGAGGCCATAGTAGAGAGCTAGATCGGAAGTGGAGCCCCAGGACTGGAACCAGCACCCATATGGGATGCCAACACTGCAGGTGGTGGCTTTACTGCTACGCCACAGTGCCGGCCCCTAAAACTGTTTTTTAGATGTTTAATATGAATTCATTTTTTGTGTTAGTCTCAGTCTGAGAAGTTAAAAAGATTCTTGTCTTCCACTTGTCTTTAGGTCCTTATCTAAAAATACAAAGAAAAACTCAGTGGTGAGTAATCTTTCCTCAGTTGAATTACTAAATTTGCTATACTTTTGAGTTTGGGAAAATTGAGTATAGATCCATTCATTGTTCCATCTTGAGATTTTCAAAATTTAGCTAAATTTCTTTAATCCTGACTGGTAAGATTGGTTTAGAAACTTAGCAATTTCTTATGAGACATTATGAAAACACCCACTACCCCAGCATCTTTTAGGTAAAACTACATTTGAAACATATATGAATATTCAGTATTTTGCTACCAAGCAAAACAATGCACAGTATCTTCAGGAGACATTAATAACAATCCTACTTATCAACTCTTCTGAACTGTATAGCGTGCTTGGAGCTTAAAGTCATGGGTATATCGTGAATGATTTCTTTTGTTTACTTGTCCATGTTGGACTTGCTAGTCAAATAGCTTAGGAAGCAATTCATTAAAGTTTATTTTTACTACCAGCTTTCACTTAGAGTTAACTATGACTTTAATGTTGTAACTGTGCACTGCCTTCTGTGTCTCAGGTATTTATAATAATTTTCACAAGACCAACCTACACATTAGTGTCTGGCAGGCTAACCATTTGACATGTGTTTATTTTTCCTAATTTTGTTTCCTGTCTCAGGAAGAACTTCTACATCCATAACATACGTAAGATAAAATGACTAGATCCTATCATGGCTGATTTTTTTAATTAGACTTTTTAGAAGTTATTTTAAAGTTTTTAAAAATCTAAATAAATTAGTTTCACTGGTTCCTCTTCTTTTACACACATATTTAACCTCTGAAATAAATTTGGTTCCCTGTTGGTTCTTATGTTGGTCCATTTAAAGTAATTTGTCTGCTTTTTAAGTATTGAATTCCGTTACTTTTATCATTAACTTCTTGTTCATAGGGTCAAATTAGAAATCCCAAATTTTGGTTCAGTAGACCTTAATCAGACACAGTTATTCTCCATCTCCCCTCTCCAACCCCTCAGCTTCTCTCTCCCTCACCCCAAGACACATGACTGAGACCTGTGCATGTTCGTACTTGGTTTTCAGACCTCTAGGCAAACGTAAATATCTTTTGTGGTGGTGACTCGGCTCTGCCACTAACACAGTGCAGTGACCCAAGAGCCACATTTGCTGTAAACATGACTCAGGAACAGCATGATTACAGCAGCTCCAAACCTGTAGTTTAGTGCAATCTTCTAACTCTGAGATCAGGTGTGAAAGGGCCAAAGGTTACAAGTAAATGGGCTAGAGAGAAGGTAGACACCAAAGAGCCAAAGTTCAATCTAAAGCTTGCTTAGTTTTAGAATATTCTCTCTGCTTAATAGTCTGACCCATTTTTTTCCAACCTGCCCGTTTTAAATCACAAATATGGAATGGAAATTTCCCTAGCCTCTTTCTCCTAAGAGCGTCCATTCAGTGTGCAATTTCGAGGAAACACCTCGGAAACAAGGCTATGGGCAATAAGGAAGCTCAAGACGGAAGGTGAGTGAGTGAATGAGAGCGCCAATTCTGGGTGGCCCATGAACTGGGAGCTTGTGAAGGAGAGGAGCTGGGCTGGCTTGCACTGCAAACTGTTTATCCCAGCTTAAGAGCGTGGGGGCGGCTGCTGATCTCTGCTGCTTGGTGCATGAGTCATGGGCCCGAGGGCAGAGCTTGCTGTAGGGAGGGGCAGCAAGTCTGTCCTACAGAGTTCTCTGGAAGCACCGAGGAGCAGACAGATGTCTTCCGGGCAGTTTACCTGAGCCTTTCAGAGGGGCGACTCTGAACAATGCAGGTAAAAATCCAGAAGTAGAGTGCAAACCTGTCTGTGCACTTAAGGAGGTGGTTCTTAATCTTCTCAGGGGCTAAGGGGCTCCTGAAAACCAGGGAGAAAGGTCAGACTTAGGGAAAGTGTGGCTGGGAACAGACCACGAGATACTGTGTGGAGTCTAAACCCAGCAAGAGAAACTTTAGGCCACGGCAGAAGCAGATAGTCTCAGGGAGAAAAGGAAAACGCAGAAGGCAACAAGGGAGGAAGGCCCAGGGTTGTGATGCATCCAACCAGCTCCAGAGTGTTTTCTGGTTCTTACTCTGGTGGGAATAAGAAAAGCCATCAGCGCTGGGAGTTGGAAAAACCCTACAGGTTTTTGTATCTCATTTGTCATAATGGAGTCTGGAAAGGGAAGGTAATTTACCTGATGCCACATAGCCAGTTAGTTATAAACCAGAGGTTTAAATAGCTTAGGATTCACGGCTAGGATTTAAGCAAGCGATACGTTTGTTCTCATCACAAAGCATTCAAAGTGACTTTGTGAAATGCAAAGGTTGAACAGAAAATGAATAGATAGTATATTTTTGAGAAAGTAGGAGGAGCTGGTGGTCAGACTCCTGGAGTTGATAATAAGCAGGTGTTGGTGATAGAACCTAGGTTGGGCAGGCAACAGTCTGGAATCAAGTCTGCAGGTGTGGCTTTTCTAGAACTTCATGATCTTATGCAGGACGTTAGCAAACTGGAAGAGAGAGAGAGAGGGAGGGAGAGATGTGGAAGAGTCAAGTGAAAAAAGGATTTGGGGATAAGATAGAATTTCTGTGGAAAGTCTAGACTTTCTTAAAATAATAGTGTTAATACATAAAAGGGGGGATTGGAGGAGTTTACCAGTTGAGAAGTCAAGGACAATGAATGCATCAAATACTTTTAAAACATCTAATTGTAGTCCTTTAAACATGATTCTGGGAATATTTTGTAGTTCCCAGGTTACAAAAGCGAGCCTGATTTCATCAATTCAAATAATAGTTACAGGAAGCAACAGAATGAGTAATGTGTTCTGTACAGAGCAGTAAGTTGGAATAGTGAAGTGAGCCACTTGGAATGCTTGCAAACATAAAATGCTTGTTGTTCAGAGCTCAAAAGAAGGGGCCTCTGGAAATCAGAGA